GCCTCAGGTGCCAACACAGCTGATATCTTTACTAAGGCGCTTGCGCCTAAAGATCATCAGCGGCACTGTGTACAGCTTGGTCTTGTTCCTGTAGCTGCTCCCCTGTTAGGATCCTGATTGTGTACTCTCTATTATATATGCTTGTCAGACTGGCCTTGTGGCCTTACCTCCAGTGGCTGGACTAGTAGTGCCACCCTGGCTTGCTTCAGTTTTGGTTGTATTCTTGCTGACTGGTCTCCAGACCCCTGCCTCAGTGGTTGGACTAGTAGTGCCGCCCTGAGCTGTTTGCTTCTTGTTTAGTTTCACCCCTTGTCTAGCCTAGGGGGTGTGTCAACTTATACATATTATCTATGTAGAAGTTATAAGCTAGATTGAGGTATGCTTCTAGTGAGTACAACCAACTAGTATTTGTTCTAGGTTTCCACCTCTAGTAATCATTCGTTCTCACTTTGACACGAGGGTGTGGAGTGCGACCATCCCAGCCGTCTATCAAGCTGTGATTTCAATACCATGGAGAGATTTGAGGGACACCTGTCAGAAACACTTGTCACGAGCCAGAAAAACCTGTCACGAGTCGCGTCAGAAACACTAACATCCAGCCTAGCACATCGCCAACAGGACTTTCGGCACGATAATTCTTCGTCAAAATTTCTCCCAATACATGAAACAGCATAGAAACTACACTACGGTATGATAAAAAAGACCGTATTGGCATAAAAAACGTTATAAACGTCCATGGGATGGATCATGGAAGAATATAAATTATTTGAATACCCACCCCCTCCCCCAACACACAATTTCAAACCAGTCCCCTAAACGTCCATAAGGGCGCTTATCCGGGGGAATATGGTAAACAAGAAGAAACAGGGAGGGGGGAGGGGGGGTCTTATCTCATACCGCCCAGGGGGTGTCTTATAAACGGGAAGCCCAAATACAAGATAGACGCCTCGTTTAAGACCCTGGGTCTTCTATTACTAGGGGGTCTTCTATCCGGGCTTTTACGGTAGAACACATACCAGTGTGTGCCAGCTCCCTTTTGAATGACACTCATGGTGGCATGGCTGTCAACTTATACATATTATCTATGTAGAAGTTATAGGCTAGACTGAGGTATGCTTCTAGTGAGTACAACCAACTAGTATTTGTTCTAGGTTTCCACCTCTAGTAATCATTCGTTTCTACGTTAACATGGTATCACGCTTAGGTTAGGATCCCCCCGCCTACCGCTTCCGCCCGTCGCGCCTCCTAGGCCCCGTCGCGCCCCCTAGGCCCCGTCGCGCCCCCCCTGGGCCCCGTCGCGCTCGTTAGGCCCCGTCGCGCCCCCCCTGGGCCCCGTCGTGCCCGCTGGGCCCCGTTGCGCCTCCTAGGCCCCGTCGCGCCCCCCATGGGCCCCGTCGAGCCCGCTGAGCCCCGTCGTGCCTCCTAGGCATCGTCGCGCCTCCTAAGCCCCGTCGCGTCCCCCCCTCTCTGGGCCCCGTCGCACCCGTTCGGCCCCGTCGCGCCCCTCCTAGGCCCTGTCGTGCCCGCTGGGTCCCGTCGCGCCTCCTAGGCCCCGTCGCGCCCCCTCTGGGCACCGTCGCGCCCGCTGGGCCCTGTCGCGCCTCCTAGGCCCCGTCGCACCCGCTGGGCCCCTTCGCGCTTCCTAGGCCCCGTCGCGCCTGCTAGGCCCCGTCGCGCCCCCCCTGGGCCCCGTCGCGCCCGTTAGGCCCCGTCGCGGCCCCCCTGGGCCCCGTCGTGCCCGCTGGTCCCCGTCGCGCCTCCTCGGCCCCGTCGCGCCCCCCCTGGGCCCCGTCGTGCCCGCTGGGCCCCGTCGCGCCCCTTAGGCCTCGTCGCGCCCGCTGGCCCCTGTCGCGCCTGCTGTTAGCGCTCGCCTGCCTGGCCTCCTAGTGCCGCTCGGCCTCCTCCTAGTGCCGCCCGGCCCCTTCCTAGCGCCGCCCGGCCTCTCCTCAGCGCTGCCCGGCCCCTCCTCGTGCCCGACCGGCCCCAGCAGCACCAGCCTGGCCCCTCCCAGCACCAGCCCGGCCCCAGAGCACCTGCCCGCCTCCCCTGCTCGGCCTGCCGTGTCCTCTCGGGCCCTGTGTCTTCTGCTCGCCTGCGCTGGGACGCCTAGCTGCTGCCCTACTGGAGAGTGCTGCCGCCGTGTCCCCGCGCCGCTGTGCTCCTGTGCCGCTGAGGAGCTGTGCTGCTGTGCCGCTGTGTCGCTGAGGAGCTGTGCCGCTGACCCTGCACGATGGCTGACTTTGTGCTCCGCCTGGACGCTGAGGGCCACGCGGTTGACTTCGCCGCCTGGCTCTCCGATCTCCGCCGCCAGCTTACAGGTCAGCGCCAGGATGGCCACTCTCTGGTTGTCCATGCTGATGGCTTGCTCCCCCGTCCCCCTGCACCTACTCCCCTCCCTGCTGACCCCTCCTCTGATGACCGTGAGGCTTTCTCTACTGCTGCGCTGGCCTGTGCGGTCTGGGACTCACGCGATGCAGTAGCTCAGGTTGCTATTAGTCACGCCCTCCCTGTGTCTGAGCGCTCGCGTTTTGCTACTGTTGAAACGGCCAAAGCTTATTTAGACGCCGTTATTGCTCGCTATTCCACCCCTGCCTCCGCTTCTGCTGGCCGCTTGCTCTTTCCGATGCTGTTCCCAGACCTGGCTGCCTTCCCTACTGTCGCAGACTTTGCCACTCATTTGCGTGCCCTAGAGACTCGCTATCGCACTGCCAGCACTGCTGCCCAGCTCACTGCGCTCCCCCCTCCTTTCTGCATGACGCTCTATTTTATCGCTATGCGCCTGCCAGACCGCCTCGCTAGTGCTCGCGACCACTTTCTTAGCCAGCACCCGGGTGACCTCACCCTGATCGCCTTTGTCGACACCCTCACTGAGATCGAGACTCGCCAGCGCACTATCGCTCAGTCGAGCGGTGCGCCGGCAGTCTCTATCTTTCACGGCTGTGCCCCATCCCAGTGCACGTTCACTGACGTTTCGGCTGCGGTCGCCACGGCGACCCCTCTTACCGAGACGGCTGCTGCTGTCCACCCGCAGCAGCGCTCGCGTCGCGGTGGCCGTGGCCGCCAGGGAGGTAGGGGTGGTGATGCAGGTGGTAGTGGTCGTGGTGGTGGTGACGGTAGTCCGCCTGAGGGGACTACCACCGGTGGGCAGGAGCAGCAGCCCCAGCAGCAGCAGGACCAGCCCCAGCCGCAGCCGCCGTCCCAGCAGCACCCGCCGCAGCCGTGGGCTCGTCTCCCGCCTGGTTGGCCCGGCACCTCCGGAGGCGGTGGCCGTGGTGGCGGCCCGCGCAGCTTGGCGTCTACCAGCGGCTCCAGTGCTGTGACCTGCCAGTACCAGCTTCAGACCGGGCCTCTCCGCGGCACTCTGTGCCGCCGCCCGCACCCGACCGCCCGCTGTTTCCGCCGCCTCGACGATCTTTTTCGTCGTCGCTTTGGCCCGGCCCCGGACCTCCCTGACTGGCACAGCCTACTCCGCCAGGGCGTGCCGATCTTTGAGTTAGACATGGATCAGATAGGTGCTGCTTTGCATGCTTTGTATGCTGACGCTTCTAGTGTTGCTGGTCTACCTGCGCCGACCACAGGGCTTCACTGGTACCTTCCCTCCTGGGACCCAGTGGCTTCTCAGGCGCCCGGTCTACGGCCTGCGTCAGGCTCCCCGCGAGTGGCACGACACGCTACGTGCCAGGTTAGCAAACCTGCAGTTCTTTCCGTCCTCTGCTGACCCTTCACTGTTTGTGCGTTCCGGCCAGACTCCGTTCTACATCCTTGTCTACGTAGACGACCTGGTCTTCGCTACTCCTGACAGGGACGCACTGGCCTCTGTGAAGGCTGAGCTGCTGAAGAGACACACCTGCACTGACCTTGGAGAGCTGCGTCGCTATCTTGGCCTGCAGATCTCTAGGGACAGAGCAGCACGCACCATCACTCTGACCCAGTCACACTTGGTGCGTCAGGTCCTTCAGAGGTTCGGTCTTCAGTTCTCCTCTGCACAGCCCACACCTCTACCCGTAGACCATGGGCTCTCTGCTCCCGTTCCTGAGGAGCCAGTAGAGCCCAGTGGCCCCTACGCAGAGCTGGTGGGTTGCCTCATGTACCTGATGACTTGCACTCGCCCAGATCTCGCATACCCTCTCAGCATCCTGGCTCGCTTTGTGGCTACAGGCAGACACCGACCTCAGCACTGGTCTGCCGCTAAGAGGGTTTTGCGTTATCTTGCTAGTACATCAGGCATGGGGTTAGTGCTAGGAGGACGCAGGCCAGTGGTCCTTACTGGGCACACAGACGCTTCTTGGGCAGACGACGCTGAGACGCTCAGGTCGTCGCAGGGCTACTGTTTCAGCCTTGGTTCGGGTGCTATCTCTTGGAGATCCACTCGCTCGTCGTCTGTGGCTCAGTCTAGCTGTGAGGCTGAGATCTACGCTGGTGCCATGGCGGCACAGGAGCTCCGCTGGCTGACCTTCTTGCTCACAGACTTAGGTGAGCGGCCTAGCTCTGCCCCGGTCCTGTACGCTGACAACAGGGCCATGATACTCCTGTGTCAGGAGCCTCGGCTTGAGGGCAGAGCGAAGCATATCCAGCTGCGGTACTTCCTCCTGCGCGAGCTACAGCAGCGCCGCCAGGCCCGCGTAGTTCACTTGGCCTCAGGTGCCAACACAGCTGATATCTTTACTAAGGCGCTTGCGCCTAAAGATCATCAGCGGCACTGTGTACAGCTTGGTCTTGTTCCTGTAGCTGCTCCCCTGTTAGGATCCTGATTGTGTACTCTCTATTATATATGCTTGTCAGACTGGCCTTGTGGCCTTACCTCCAGTGGCTGGACTAGTAGTGCCACCCTGGCTTGCTTCAGTTTTGGTTGTATTCTTGCTGACTGGTCTCCAGACCCCTGCCTCAGTGGTTGGACTAGTAGTGCCGCCCTGAGCTGTTTGCTTCTTGTTTAGTTTCACCCCTTGTCTAGCCTAGGGGGTGTGTCAACTTATACATATTATCTATGTAGAAGTTATAGGCTAGACTGAGGTATGCTTCTAGTGAGTACAACCAACTAGTATTTGTTCTAGGTTTCCACCTCTAGTAATCATTCGTTTCTACGTTAACAATGGCAACAATCATTCACCTTTCTGTACAGTCTCAGCTATGGGCTCAGGCCTCAAATCATTTATGCCCACCACCCTTGATCTTCTTTCTCGGCTGTGCACCTTCCCCCTCTCCACTGGGTCTCTTGCCACCGGGGCGGGGGACTGCGTGGTGGTGGGGCGAGAGGTCGGAGAGGGCGAGGCAGGTGAGGCGGGCGTTGGTGAGCACCTGTGAGAGGCAGGCAGCAGGGAGAGCTGGGGGTGCCTTGGGGGCACTTGCATGCGGGTGTGGGGAGGATGAGAGACGGCGCAGGTCCCACAGGCGGATGCACCCGTCTGAAGCGCCTGACACCACCACATGCTCACTCCACTGCGCCGCTGCCTCACCACCACTGCTCGCTCCGCCCCTTTTCTTCCTTCTCCCTCCACCCGCCCCTTCCTCCTCGCCTCCTTTATCACCGCCATCCCCTTCTCCATCGCCCCCAGCCTCCCCACCGCTCCAAGCTGTCAGCCCTGCCCTGCCCGCCAGAGCCAGCTCATTCCCCTCATCGCCATCCGCCCCTTTGCCCCCCTGCCCCACAGGCAGCACCCCCAGCACGCTTCTGATGCGCGAGCTGTGAGCGCCCGCCACGCTCACTGCGGGCTTGAGGGCCTGCCGCACGTCCCACACTCTGATGGCCCTCTCCTCGCCGCCCGTCACCACCACATGCGGCTGCAGGGGGCACGCGCACAAGCCAGGAAGCACAGGGACATGCGGTTACACCACGGGAAATTCACACAGAAAGGAGAGGCACAGGGAAAGAGGTATGAGGAGCTCTTAGTGCGCTTCAGCAAGGGGGGAAACAGGGGGCAAGCAGGCAGGCTCACAGTGAGGAAGGAGAGCGTGAGGCAGGAGCCGTCGTGCGGCAGGGAAGCAGTGAGCGAGGCGTCGGCAGAGCAGTGCACGGCCACCTTGCCGCCGCGCAGTGCCATGGCGTAGCTCGCAGCGTCCCCGGGCGAGTAGGTGAGCGCCAGGGGCTCGGCGGGCGCGCGCGTGCGGAAGGAGCAGCGCGCCTGCAGCAGATTCCACAGCCGCAGCTCCGAGTCCCGCGCCACCGACAACGCCACCCGGCCAGACGGGTGCACTGGGTCCCAGGGAGGGGGGAGGACAGGAGACAGGGAGAAGGAACGTGAGGAGGACGGAGGACGCGGAGGAGGGCAAAGGCGCTTGATAGCAACCCACAGCACTCACCGCTTGATAGCAACCCACGGCACTCACCGCTTGATAGCAACCCACGGCACTCACCGCTTGATAGCAACCCACGGCACTCACCGCTTGATAGCAACCCACGGCACTCACCGCTTGATAGCAACCCACGGCACTCACCACTTGATAGCAACCCACGGCACTCACCGCTTGATAGCAACCCACGGCACTCACCTGCGACATCATTCACAGGCGCCTTATGCCCCTTCAGGCTTGAGAGATGCCGCCACGTGGCGACCTCCCATAGGCTGATGGTGCGATCTTCACTGCCCGCCACCAGGTGAGTGGGTCGACTGCCGCTGCCATGCAGCTGCAGGGGGCACAGGCGGGTGGCATGGCATGCACGCAAGAGACGGCAGAGCATGGGCGCTTAGAGGCCAAGTCCCCGGCAAGCTGAGTGTGGCAAGACATCAAGGGCCACTCCTCCAGGTGGCAAAAGAGGCCCTCCAAGGGAGGGAAAAAGGGGGGGGGCATGCTGCACTGGCCTTGTGACACTTGAGTGCACTCCAGCTGGCCACTACTTGGAGTGTACCGCTCAGCAACGATGCACGGGAAATGCCTTGTTCGCAGTGTGGCAGTATAGACGGCGTTAATTCACTGGCTTACGCCCCCCCTCCATCCCTCTCGCTCTTCCTTTCCCGCATCTGCGCCCCACCCTCTCGTCCATGCCCCGCCTCTCGCTTATGCCCCCCCTGGCACTCACAGCGAGGCACGAGACGCCCGCTTGGTGGTGCAGGAGCGCGCCCATGTCGGTGCGCGTGCTCAAGTCGTACACGCGCACACTGTCGTCCGCGCCGCCGCTCACCGCCACCCGGCCCGCCGCCGCCACGCACTTGATGGGCCCCGTGTGCCCGCCGTAGCAGAACTGCTGCTGCAGCGCCGCGCCCTCGCCTCGCCCCCCCTGATCCCTCTCCTCCTCCCCATTTTCACGTCCCCCCCCATTCCCCCCACTGCATGCCGCTGGCTGCAGCGCACCCACACTGAAAGGGGGGAAGGGGAGAAAGAGAGCGCAAGAGGGCGTGGGGGAGTGCAGCGGCGAACCACCCTAACAGGGCACAGGGGACTTGCGGGGTTCTGGGAACACACGGTGGGTCGAGAGGGCACATGAGGGGTTCAGGTTGAATTCGCGGGGTCGGGGGTGTGAGCACAGAGGGGGGGAAGCGGGGGGAGGGTAAGCCGAAGAGGAAGCGGAGCATACGAGAGGAGGGTTGGGGGTTGTGAGGCAGGGGAGAGCGCACGTGTGGGGGGGCGGGTGGAGGCGGAAGCCGAAGAGGAAGCGCTCGTACGACCCCGCGATGAGCCGCAGCCCACCGCTGCTGTCGCCCTCCGCGTCGCCTGCGCCGCCCCGCATGGCTCAGAGGTGCGCACCGCGACCAATTCAGACGGCAAGGGGGCCGCGACTTGTGTTGGAGTGGTTCCGCCACCCACGTCGGACTACTCGTGACTTGGGGTGACGAGGAGAGAAATGCGGACTTGGGACGAGAAGGAACTAGGAAGCGGGTATTGCGTGAGCGTGAGGTGTACGGAAAGGGGAGAAACAAGAGAGAAGGTTAAGAGAAGACTGGTGGAAAGAAAGGAGATGGAGTTGAGTGGGAGAAAGGAAGGGAAGTGGCGAGAGAAAAACAGATTGACGTGGGGCAAAAGTTGGGTTTCGGACGGGGAAGTTCAACAAGCATTCGGACTTCGGACCAGCGGCGTGTTCAGCAAGAAAGTCGCGGTTGCGTGTGCGACTCGGCTTGACACGAGGCGCGCGAGTTACTCGCAGCGCACACGGTTGTTACGAAGCGCGAAATTGCTTGTACTTCCACTATAAATCTGTTTGAACATTTGTGCTCTGTATCTCATTTGAACTACCGTGGAATGCTTGTGTGTATTGACAACTTGCAACCACTTTAAGATCAGATTATGAGGCAAGGCCCTTGAGGCTATTTTCACAAGTATTTCTAAATACTTTTTGCTGCGCCGGAGGCAATAGTCGCCTAGAACTTGGACAGCAGGGCGGGACGAGTTAGACGGCAGAGCGGAGCAATTCGACGGCGGATCGGGGCGATTACGACGGCGGATCGGCTGTTGAAACGGGACGGACGAGCTGGCGGAGTGACGGGCGGTGCTGAATAGGCAGAGTGGTTTCTGAGTTACACCAGTACAGCGAAATGAGGCTGACAAATTCGAGCACTTATTAGAAGCACGACCTGAAAGTGAGATGGGTTTGGTCGGGAACGACCAGTAATCTAGTCATAGTTTAAATACTTCAAACGTGAGATGGGGCATCCCGCACACTACCGCGTACAGCTGTTGCCATTGGTCCTGCTTGGTTACCACTTTTTCTCCCGTTGCATGTTTCGCCAATGTAAGGAATGCGTAATTCCTTACTGAGGCTTGCTATAGGGCGTACGACTCGAACAGTCCCGAACCATCGCCAGCGTTCCTGACCTTCCCGTTCGAGCCTCCTGGGCCTTTCCCGAACCTTCCGATCCTACGTCCAGGATCACCCTAGGCTTTCTATATATTGTATTGTCTTTCATTTTATTGTCATTCACAGTTTCGCCATTGCCCTCCGCGCTACTCGGCAGTCCCATTCATAACACTTGGTATTCAGAGCCACTTTCCTCACCCGCTGGGCTTCCGAAGGCATAACGTTTTTTTTTTTTTTAGGAGAGCCATTCCCTCGAGGGCGGTTGTGTCCGTCCTGACATGGCGATTTTTTTTAAGAGTTTCTGGTATGTTGTTTATTTCGCATATCGTTAAAGGAGTTTCGGTTGCAGTTTCGGAAATTTCGGCAGGCAGCAACGACGATTCGGATTGGTGTCCGAATGGAGCGAGGAGCTCGTCACGAGACGACAAGCTCACAGAAATCCCCAGGCGAAATGGATTTCGTCAGGAGCGCGTGTAGCACACGTGGCTGCATGGTGAAGTGTAGCTGATGTCAAAGGCTCAGCGTTTCCGGCAGGCGACACGCAGGTGAAAACGGGACTTCGGATACTGTTCAGTAAACGCGGCGTTGGAATTTTCGGCACGACTAAGGATCGCACGGCAGCACACGTGGGGCTCAGGCACAGAAATTTTCGGGGAGTACTTACCTCGAAATTTATTCGCGTGACCTGCCCGCCTGGAGGTGTAATTTGTCTGCCCTGGAGTTTCGAGCTCGGCGAGTCTGGATTCCCGCAGAGGAAGCCATTTTCGTGGTCAGAAATTATACCCCATAATCTACGGAAGACGACCAGCAACTACCCTTGGGTCGAGTTTATGTGTCATCACCGGGTCACCCGCTAAAAGTCAATGACGAAGAGCTGAAGCAGAGAAGGAGAACGACTAGGAACAGCCATTAAAAAAAAAAAAAAAAAAAAAAAAAAAAAAGGAACCAGCGGCAGACGGATCCCCCGACTGACTTGGCTGGGTTGCCCAATTTTCAACACCACCACCAGGTACCAGTTCGGGTTTAAGACTACTCCGACGGTTCTTGCCGAATAAGGGTGGTGAGCCAGCGGATCACCCTGTGCTGGTGGATCGAAGAAGAAATTTCCGGCGCTACACGAGAGGTGCACGATTTGTGAAAATCGTACGCTGTACAGTGGGAGGCGCGTGAAGCAGGTCAACGAAAATAACAAGGGATTTTTGCGATGACGATCGGACGGTAAGTGGAGCTCGAGTCCGATACGAACGGCGAGGATGTGTCGCCGAGATCGACGGAGCACGAGTTTTTCGAACGAACGTGCGCGCTACTGTTTTGAGAACGACGAACGTGGGCGCTGGGTGAACAGTGGCCTACGGGGGGTTTTTTATCGTGGAAGGAGCAGTTGAAGAAATTTTGAAGCAGTTTGGAACAGATTGTTGCAGAAACATAATTTTCGGTGGAGGGGAAGGCGAATCCCTCGCGTAAGCTGCAAAGCGGTTGCCCGCGAATTAGACTGATTAATTCGCCCAACTACGATAGTATTTGCGCTTACTCGAGTATAGGCACACGGCGGATTCACGACTGCTCTGGAGGGTATTCATCAAATGGAGCTTTGAGTTACTGTTGCAGTGGGAAATACGTGTTGCCGTCACGGAAAATTTGGAGTCACACGGGAGTCTTCAAGGATTATTCCTGAGTTGCGGGGCTATAATCGAATACTTGGCTGCGAGGACACATTCGGGGATTTACCTGGACGGGCGCAAGGATGGGTGAACGTCGGCGCGTCGCTAAACGTCGGGTATTTTCCGGGTGGGAATTCTTCAAGTTTTTGGCTGGAGCGGTAGCTAGGGTCACGGGTACCTACCGAGCTGTGCGATGGTTTAAACACCAGCATGGTTAGTCGGTGAAACTGCAGAAAATGCGTTTTTCGGAGCTGTGAACTGTACCCAAGTGTTTCTGGAGTTGAGAAATTTTCTACGGAGGGGAACAACGCGAAGCAGATCGACGGCATTCTGTGGAGCAGAAATATTATCTACGGCATCGGACAGATAAATAGTCTACGTGGCGCAGCTGCCCTGCGTTATAGGGTCGCGCTTAGACTGGTCCCGACGAGCAGGATTTGAAGATACTTCAAGTTTCGGGTCTGAAGAAACTTGAAGCAAAGTATTTCGGCATCTACGACAGAAGATTTTCTTTTCATGGAGGGGGGAGAGAGCAGCTGCGCAGCAGTTGTTTCTTGGATTTACCCTCTACAGTTTGACATCCGCTGCATGAGCATCGACGGATAGATGCTGTTCGACCGACTGAATCGACGGACAGATTCGAGTGGGCATTTCGGGGAATTTCGCAGGAGTTTGCGAAAGTTGAAGGCGCGTTTATATTGACCGCCTGAAGCGACATCGACTACGGTTACTGGACGGGTTGAGTTGTCGTCCATGTGCTGATGGAATTCGCTGACTTTCGTGAGACACGGATGCGTGTTCTCGCATGTGTCGCGAGTGACCTCGCATTTGACGAAAAGCTGGAGTTCGTCGACTTTGCGAAATACGGACGCGTGTTTTTGCGAGTGTCACGACTCGCGTGGAATTGAACAAGGAGCGATCTACAGTTACGGAGATACGGACAAGTTTGGCGCTATGCAGAAGATTCGGCTCGCCAACTTGCAGCAGTGTGAATCACGTTGTGTTACTGTGCGGATACTGTACACGACGATTGGAGTTGTAATTCGCGGCGAAGACTTGCTGGAGACAAGAAAGCTGTAGTGCAGTAGTATCCCTACTGCCCGTTTGGTTATCTGGGTAATTCGACCAAGGTTCGACGGCTACGATCGACGGCGATCGTTTCGACGGTTTTTACCATTGGATGGAGTTTCTTTGAAGAAGCTCGAGATTCTCAACAGTGGTGGCTTCACTACTACGAGATTCAGTTAGTGTGTGTGTAGTTGTGTTTATTTGTGTGCTTATCTAGAAGGGGGGAGAGTGTAAGGAATGCGTAATTCCTTACTAAGGCTTGCTACAGGGCGTACGACTCGAACAGTCCCGAACCATCGCCAGGGTTCCAGACCTTTCAGTTCGAGCCTCCTGGGCCTTTCCGGACCTCGCTACGACACATCGAGGCCCTTCGATACCTTTCCCGAACCTTCCGATCCTACGTCCAGGATCACCCTAGGCTTTCTATATATTGTATTGTCTTTCATTTTATTGTCATTCACTCGTTCACAGTTTTCGCCATTGCCCTCCGCGCTACTCGGCAGTCCCATTCATAACAGCCAATATAAGGTGTATGTAAGGAATTAGTAATTCCTTACCGAGGCTTGCTACAGGGCGTACGACTCGAACAATCCCGAAACAGCGATAGGGTTCCAGACCTTTCAGTTCGAGCCTCCTGGGCCTTTCCGGACCTCCCTACGACACATCGAGGCCCTTCGACACTTTTCTCGAACCTTCCGATCCCACGTCCAGGATCGCCCTAGGTTTCCTATATATTGTTTTGTCTTTCATTATATTGTCATTCACTCGTTCACAGTTTCGCCATTGCCCTCCACGCTACTCGGCAGTTCCATTCATAACACTTGGTATCCAGAGCCACTTTCCTCACCCGCTGGGCTTCCGAGGGCAGAAGAACTTTTTTGGGGGGGGGGGGGAGAAGGCGGAGGCGTTACAAAAGGAACGGCGGTTGTCCTGAAGCATGATATGATATGCTTCAACTACTGCGTTTGCGTGGGCTTCTGAAGGCCGTCGATCCGACCCCAAGGGGCGAGCAGGATTCGCTCGGCCATCCCCTCGAGGGCGGTTGTGTCGGTCCTGACATCGTTAAAGGAGTTTCGGTTGCAGTTTCGGATTTTTCGGCAAGCAGCAACGACGATTCGGATTGTTGTCCAAATGGAGCGAGAAGCTCGTCACGAGACGACAAGCTCGCGTATATCCCCAGGCGAAGAGGATTTCGTCAGGAGCGCGTGTAGTAGACGTGGCTGCATGGTGAAGTGTAGCTGACATCAAAGGGCTCGGCATTTCCGGCAGGCGACACGCAGGTGAAGACGGAACTTCGGATACTGTTCAGCAAACGTGTCGTTGGAGTTTTCGGCAAGACCAAGGATCACACGACAACAAATATGGGGCTCAGCCACGGAGGAGTTTCGAGGAGTACTGACCTCGGAATTGTTTCGCGTGACCTTCCTGCCTGGAGCTGTAATTCGTCTGCCATGGAGTTTCGAGCTCGACGA